AGCAGCATTAATCTTTCTTGCACATCCCAAAAAAATTCACAATTACACAATTTTTTTTCACATTGATTTAACTTCTTTGACTATTAGCGTGAAAAGCATTTAAGTAAAGTTAAGATATTTAAAAAGAGATAGATAAAACACATACTGCTTAATACCATGATGCCTGTTCTGCTTAGTGGTATATTTACTTGCAAAAGAAATGCGCAGCTTAGAGTATATATAAAAAAAAAAAACCTTTAAGAGAACTTGTTTCGACAATTTTTCTCCATTTTTTTCCTATCCAGTTAAGCTCAAAATGGATAAAATTCTGAGCTAAAATAATACAAAAACTCTGAATTAGTGTCACTTTTTATATTGTTTAATAAATAGGGTTAACAAATGCTAGTAGTGCTTTAGTCTTTCATTTCCATAGTAAAATTCTCTGGGAAATACATTTGGACAAGAAAAAAAAAATCAATGGCATTAGAATATACACACATTAATAAAAAAATTTTTTTACTAAACTTTCCACAAGTCCTTTCCTAACATCTTGCTAATTTCATCCCATTCAGTCTCTTTTTTTTTTTTAAACCACATTCGGATGAACCTGCCCTGTAGTGCCCAAACGCAGAGAATAACCTTCTCCAGTCCCTTCAAAGCCGTAGGTGGGGAGGATTTGAACAGAACTGATGTCTGGCCTGATTTGGGACTACACAGACCAAGCAGAGGAGATACACCAACTCCTGAGGACTGTCAAAACACCATGAGATCTTTCCGTAGGCTAAGGCCCCTAGAACCAAAACACAAACAGCTTTAATTAAACTGGATGAACACAAACTATGAGCGAGCCAGCCAGCTACTTTAAGAGCAGAGACTGTTACAGAAGCAAAAGTAAAAGAAAGTGTTGTCCATCGTTCTGGCAAAGGCTGGAAGTTTGTTTGATGTTTTGGCATGTTTAACAGTCTCCATTGGGTAATCTAATTAGAACTTAAGCCACCGTAGTCTATCATTATTTCAGTAACAAATAGAAACTTCACCCTGTGGGCAAAAACAAACAGCAACAATTCACTTCAAGAAGTGAAGTTTAAAGTTCAGCAAGGTCGATGTAATCCATCCATCGAGGTAAGAGCAGCACATCTGGCTGTGATCCAGGGGTACAGCCCAGCCCCTCCTTTTCTATTCGGTTCATTTAAGCTGTTCAGTGATGGATGACGAAAGAGGAGTGCATTTCAACACAGGACGCCGTAGCATAAGTGACAGCGGTACAGACATTGCACTCTGCAAAGTTAAACGTTTGGATAAAAATGGGATAACTTCTGATGAGGCGGAACAATGTTGTCAGATAGAGTTAGTGGTTTGGTTTATCTTTCCCTGACCCACCATATGACTAAGTCCTTACTCAACTGAAATATGACATTTGAAGAGCACAAACCCATCAAGGCAACAACAACAACAACAACAATAATAATAATATACACAATCATTCAAAAGTTTGGAGTTGGTAAGATTTTTTAAATGTTTTTGAAAGAAGTTTCTTATGTTAACCAAGTCTTCATTTATTTGATCACAAACGCAGTAAAAAAAAAAAAAAGGTAATATTGCAAAACATTACAATTTAAAGTATTAGTTTTCTATTTGAATATATTTTAAAATGCAATTTATTCCTGTGACGGCAAAGCTGAATTCTATAGTCTTCAGTGTCACGTGATCCTTCAGAAATCTTTCCGATATACTGATTTGCTGCTCAATAAATTTTTTTTTTTGCCATCAAAAAACACTGATTAATATTTTTGTGTTAATTTTAAAGTTGAAAGAGCAGCATTTGAAATAGATTTTTTTAACAACGTAGTGTCTTAACTGTTACTTTTGCAACGAATGAACGAACGAAAGAAAGAAAGAACGAAAGACCTTGGATTGGGATGGTAATCTAACAATGTAGCCTACATGCAGGTAGCTCACTAGGTTGAGTCAGTGTGTATCAGAGAGGATGATATGATTGGCTTTACCTACGTCAGGTGGGTTTGGCAGTCAGGGGCGGAGACCCACCCAAGGTCAATGACTCAACATAGGTCAGCGCGCTCTGCATTGACGTCAGGCAGTACCCTTCCTCTCCGATCAGATACCTGTAGACATAAATAAACACTTCATTAGCACTTCTGCTCACAAGGGAAAACACGATCTCTTCCACTGAGGGTCAACTTCAAGTGAACCCATCTGCTAATGAGACTAAGACACGAGATCAAGCTGAAGCCAAGAGTCAGTGTGTAACATGTTGGGGAGTGTGATGAGAGAAAATAAAGTAAGGGAGAAAAGAAAGGCAGTATGAGACAGATCATTCTATTCATTAAAAGAAGTTTGCTCAAATATAAAAATCATAATTTTGCACCCTCAAGTCATTTTAAACCTGAGCCATAAAGTGTTATTTGATCTGAGACCTGCTTGAGGTGCAGATTACCAATAAAAGTTTGTATTGATGAACAAAAACCTCTCATATGACTTGAGCGAGTTCACCTAAAAATGAAAATTTGCTGAAAATGTACTCACACGCATCCATCCAAGAAGTAGCTGAGTTTCTTCAGAATCCAAACGGTTGATAAAAACATCACAATAATCCACAAGTAACCCACACGACTCATCAGTTAACATCTTGGGAAGTGAAAAGCTGCATGTTTGAAAGAAAAATATACAGTACATCAATGTGTTTTAACTTTAAAATGTCACTTCTGCTGTGTGCTTGATCTGTGCATATGTCCCTCCTGATTCAGATGAGATTACTTTTTCCCTGGAGAAAACTTATTATGGTTATTATGGAACTTATTTTTTTATTCCCAAAAAAATATTATGGACAGAGAACTCATATTTTAGCTGGAAGCAATGGTTTGAAAATGTCTTGATGGACACACAGCTTTTCATTTCACAAGACGTTAATTGATGGACTGGAGTCATTTGGATTACTTGTGGATTATTGTGATGTTTTTATCAGCTGTTTGGACTCATTCTAACGGCACCAATTCACTGCTGAGGATTCATTGGTGAGCAAGAGATGTAATGCAAAATCTGTGTTTCGGATGAAGAAACAAACTTCTACATCTTGGATGGTCTGAGGGTAAGTGCATGTACACACTACAGATACTTTTAGATCCTTTTTTGAGCTTGATAGACACTACAAACAGTCGATGAATAGAAAAAAAAAAAAAAGTTACATTTTGTGTTCAATGTAAAAAATAACATCAAACAAGTTAGAAATGACACGATGAAAAAAATAGTCTCTTTTTTTGGCAAACTATCACTTTAAATCAGTCTTAATAGTCCTAATTAAACAAAACCTGTCAACGGTGCCCGAGAATGAATACACTTCCTATCACAATCTTCCTCACACGCTGCAGAGTTCCACCCTTAGTTCCAAGCCACCAAGAAACATAAACATCTAAAGAGATTTTATTTGTATTTTTACAGGGAAAGAAAAAACCCAAACCAGAATATCCCCAACATTCATTGTTAATTGCCAATTTAACCAGCCTGTAAAAATGTCCAGTTTTATACTGATAAACAGAGCTCAGGGCTGTGGTCTGAGTAGACATGCAAGAGTACAGCACAGGAGGGGTGACATGAATACCCACAACACCGCTCAGGAAACAGGTCAAACGGTCACCTAAACGAACCGAGATCTCACTGTTGTGATATCCTCCGCTCCAAAAATGTATATAAACATGAAAGATGGCATCAAAGGTGGACTCATATTCCCGATAAGAACTGTAATATTTGTTTTATGGGTTTATTCCAACATGTTTAGACTGGAGGGTATTTTTCTAGCTGAAAAATTCATGCACAAATTCTGAGACATTTGACATTCATGACATTTTCGATTATTGGTAGCAAGTGAGATCATGCTGTCAAAACTTGATACATGCCCAAATGACAGAGAGACTGGCACTTAAAAGGATATGCCAAGCCAAATTTCCAAACAGCATCATCTATCCCACCATTATCAACATCTGATGCCAAAAATTTGACAGACTGTCAATCGGTTTAAGAGACTGTCTGAGATGACATTTTCTATTGCATAATATTTAATCAGGCTGTAAATGTAACTTTTAACCCATTATAACAATAACATTTAACTCACAGCAATATAGGTATCAACTGGACAATCTTTTACAATTTTTGTGTTTGCTTATTTATTTGACAGTTTCATGCTACATCTAAAGCCATTTTCATGGCAAGAACTGTATATACAAAAACTACATTCAAAAGTATCATGGTTTCCACAAAAATTAAGCAGCACTGTTTTCAACACTGATAATATTTTTTGAACTCCAAATCAGCATATTAGAATGATTTCTGATGGATCATATAACACTGAAGACTGGAATAATTACACTAAATAACATTTCAGAATATATTAAAATAGAAAGTTTTTTAATTATATTATTATTATTATTATTATTTCACAATATCACCGTTTAACTGTATGTTTGATTAAATAAATGCAGCCTTGATGAGCATAAACGACTTCTTTCAAAAGCATTTAAAAAAAATCTTACCAACCACAAACTTTTTAACGGTAGTGTATGGCATAAAGCATCTTCCCATTACCCCTTCTGTGGTTACTTACTGGTCACTTCATTCTTTATAACATCTAAACCTAAAACAAGACTGACTTTACGAAAGATTGCCATAAGACATGCCCTGGTGGGAGGCACGTGCATAGAAGAGTGTGGGCCTTCTCTCCATTCTACAGAATTTCCTGTGGTACAGCATGCTCAGTTCATTTTTAGTTCATAAATAACTGTGGAGAATAGAAAAATTACACAGTATTTTAGATTGAAAACGCACCCCTCGTGAATGAATTCTTCCAACGCAGCACATTCAGACACCAGCTGAGGCATTTCACTGCGTAAAGCCACGAACGCCAGGATGGGCAACAGGTCATCAGCACCTCTGAGAAAGACAAAATGGGAGAAATTAAGAAATTATGTGATGAGGTAAATCAATCCAACTAAATTCAATTTCTTTGCAGAATAAGCTATTCTGAGAAAGAACACATAAACCCCTGGATTCGTGCGTTGGAGGGACGTTTGCGTGAGAACATAGCTGGGTGTCCCCTTTCCTGCCGGACTGCAGGACACCCGATATGTTTCATACAGGTGAGAATAGCTCTGCATACCATTGCAGTTCCAACACCGTTTCTGCTGCTATCAAAATAACGCTCATGCACAGCAAAGGCGTGCTGGGATGATGCGGCTGTTAGCCTGTTCAAGCCTGTTTGTCAAATTACGGCAAAATCGGAGCATTTGTTCAACAGCTTTTTTTTCAGCGAGGGCCAAATTTGATAGAGTTTAGCAATGTGAACTTGAAGGGTGATGATGGTAATGAAATTTGCTGGAGCAAAAAAAAAAAAAGAACAAGTGCATGAGCATTGTTAGAAATGAAAAAAATATGTATTATAGACCAATATGCCCCCTCTAGAGAAAAGACAAAAGAATAATACAAAGATGTACAGACAGAGGAAATGACTGCTGTGCAGAAGGAAACAGCAATATAAATTTAAGTATGAGTGAACGTAATCCAGAAAGAAGAAGAAAGTGAGCGAGTGAGAAAGAGGAGAGACAATGGAACAGAACAACCAAAAAAAGGGTGAGAATGGCTAAATTGTTCATGTTCATGCATGCATGAGAACAGTCATTCTCCCTCACAACCAAACACAAACTTAAAAGGCAAAACAAAGGCAGAATGCGCCTTGGCTGTGCTACCAGGGCAAAATCAGGACAAGTCTCACAATGACACATTTCCTTTCGGATTGCTGATGCCTTTATAGCATAATCATTTTTAAACCAAAGTTCAAGCACGGAATTGAAAACACCCAAATAATGCTAACGAACCAAAACCGTTGGATTTGGAAAGCAACAGTACATTGTTCTGGTAAGAATCAACAAACATACGAAAATTAGGGATGGGCAGTATGACCAAACCATCTAATTGCAAAATCGTAATTATATAACAATACGGCTTTCAAAAACAAAAATAAAAGGAAGCTTTAACTAGATTGTATTGATAATTAAATAAATTAAATAACTGTATATTATTTCAATTATTAACAACAAATTAATAAATATAAAAATAAATACTCAAATATAATGTAACTACTTAACTGCAGAAATTAAGTCATTTTTAACAACAAATATTACTATTATTAAATTCATTTTTAAACAAATTTAGGGATTTGCGATTCATAGATTTTTCTTTCAAAAAAAAAAAAAAAAAAAAAAACGCTTTAACTAGACTATATTGATAATTCAGTAAATTAAATAACTGTATACTATTTAAATGATTAACAACGTAAATTAATAAATATAAAAAAATATTCAAATATAATTTAACTATTTAACTGCAGAAATTAAGTCATTTTGAACAACAAAAAATAGTATTACTATTATTAAATCAATATATTTAAACTAAAATGTAGGGCAATGCGATTCATAGATTTTTATTTTCGTTTTCAATTTTGGCTTCCAACAATTAAATCAAGATAATTGAGGTAAACGATTATTGTGCCTCATTCATGCTTGCACACCTTCCTTCAAAGTTGTGCACTTTCGTTCCTCCCTAAAAGACCAAATTTAATATCCAAATCAGTTAATCAGTAATTGTTGTAAAAATTTAGTCTTACGGTCTTCAATAATCATTTGAGGACTACATTAATTAACCAAGCTTTTGCTGAAGTCTAAAAGGACTCTCTAAAAAGCAACACGGTCTGCTTTGTGCCTGATTTTTAAATTCCATCAGCATGGATATACTGAGTAGAAATGATAACAATTTGCACCAGTCGATACATTTCTAAACATTTCACATCAGCTAAATGTTCTTTCTTTAAGAGAAAAACACAATTGTGAGTTATTGTATAAGAGTTACAAGACAGTGCTATAAAAAACAAGCATCGACATCAGCCGTTGTCAAGGGGAGCCAAACCACTGAGCATGTGCGTCACCAGCGACCCACCGCTCTACAAACTGTGATGCAAAGAGACATGTAGGTATGATGCAAGTGTTCAATCTACCTTTGTTTCCTAGAGTGAAGCAAGAAATCAAGAGAGAAAGATGAACAGGCAGCTTGTTTTGATGGGTGTGGCAGGACCAAAAGGTTACGGACACTATAACGGCCCACATAATCTCCCAGCACAGTTTTTCCCTTTTCAGGATGCTAGCGTGAGCTCACATTTTAACCGTCAGCTGAGACAGGAGGAAATTTAAGATGTTTTCCAAAAGAGTGGAGCAGACGCTGAGGTCTGTGGGAGAATTACCACAGGGAATCTGAGCCAAGTACACTCACTCCAATAAACCTATATAAACCCACATATTTAAGAAAATGTGTGTCATCAGGATATTACTCTGGTGGAACACACCCGTGCATGCTGTAAATCTAGAATTCAAGAGTTTTACAAATTACAAGAGCTGACATTTTAATCTGGGCAGTGCAAATTCATTGGCCAAAAGCTGTGTGAACATCTCATGAACAAGAACATAAGCAGAGCCACAAGTCTTTATTTACAATAGATAAGGCTGCCTTTTGGTTAGCATTACTGGATCAATTTGTCTTGACCCAAGCAGTTCTACACTCAGACCCTCTCTCACAGTGCATCAAGGCCAAAGTCTGCTCCAGACAGGGCGACCCACTTAGAGAGGAAGTCAGCTCCGAGCGCCCCGTGGGGGCCAGAGGGTCAAGACAGAACCCCTGCTAAGCTTTGGCCTCTGTGAGGTCTGATGAAGTCTGACACAAGGCCACCGCAAGCAGGAGATCCTTCATGTCTCTATCTACTTTTTTTTTTAAAAGGAAAGCAAAAAGGATGGAGCTTCACAGGAACACAACAGCTTTTATAAAACTTATGTATACTCACATTGCTGCTGATTTGGGTGGAGGATCATTTTCTTGCAGGAGGCGGTACTCTTCAGCACAGCCACAGATGATTCGTAGAGTTCTCACTGCAATGAAAAACAACTGCAGTCAAAAAAACTATTTTAAAAAAATGTGACAGGACATTACTGGTACCGTTTGGATTCAATCAAGATGCTCAATCAGGTTTTAGGCATTGTAAACTTTTAGACATGCTCAAACTGTAAGAGTACATAATACAAAGGGTACATAATATGCACCCTTTAGGGGTAGAACCCCATTTCTGCCACATAAGAGAGAAAGAGAGAGAGGGAGAGAGAGGGAGAGGGGGAGAGAGAGGGAGAAAGGTAAAACAAAAAACAAGATTTAGCAAAGCATGATTTTATGAAGTAATAATCATGACATAAGTCAAAATTATAAGATCAAGTCAGAATTAGTCATAACTTTTTATCTCATAAGTATGACTTAGTATATTAATTTCGAATCTCATAATTATAAGTTGAATTATGACAAAGTCTATAAATATGACTTACTATGTCGAATATTTGACTGATTTTTTTTATTTTGTCTTTTACAAAAATCTCATAAATATGACGTACTAGTCACAATTATGGCTTTTAAAGTCTGTGTAAAGGCAATTCAGAGAATTGTTTCTAAACACATAAATGTTAGAAATGTAATGCTGAAAACAGGTTACAAAGACTGTGAACTATGTTTAGACCGTTAAACAGTTTTTCACCATCTGTGTCCAGGATTTTTTGGGCGAGCCTGAAATCATGTCTCGATGATGCAATGGAGCCACTGAACATGGCCCCTCCCCTAACACTATAATAACTAGAGCGCATTAGCATCAGTGGTTCGCCCGCTCAATCGCAAGTCATTACCGTTAGTTACTGCAGCCTACAGTTTGCTAGCTAGCCATGCCTTCGTCAAGTAAATGCAAATTACCTGTTGTATGGCTATGTAAATCCAATTAAAATGCTCCATTCAGGTGGTGGCAGCTTTCCTGCGAGTGGGTGTGGTTTCAGTGCTGAGAGTGGACACACCCCCAGCGTTTGAGAGCAAATAATACTGCTTATTTTTTCAAGATTGTGGTAACATTTTATTTACTTGGCTTTTTTATCATTCAGATTTGGCTGGGTTGTTAATAACACATTTTTCTGTGGTGTGAAACTCAGAACACATTTAATATTGCTTTACACAGACTTTAAATTCATAATTATGATAATCAAAGCATGATTCTTAGGTGGTAGAAATTAATTTCTAAAATTTTACAATAGGTTCTCCTATCCCAACTTAATATACAGAAATAGCTAGAGGTGAGCAATTTGCAGGCTGATTTCACCTAAAAAAAAAAAGGGCACGACTATCAGTTTGTCAGATCAGATGGGGAGTGTGTTTGGTAAACCTGTTTGAAAACATTTTATTTTTGCAATTCCATTTAGACACTAAAGCGACACACTGAAAGGGTTTGTGGTTTCAGTTTACAGTAAGATCTTACCTATACACTCCAGTTTCTTCTGAGGACAATAGTCTCTATACAGAAGCTTCAGCTCCTGCACCGCTGACTCGTATGGGTAGGAACCGTGCAGCACAGCTGGGTCTCTGGGGAACAGTTTGGATGGTACGCCAACATCACCAGGTGACACATTACGATGAAAACGCATGCTGCTCTCAACAGCCAGCTCCCGTTCTCGATACACCTTCCTAAAGCATCACCGCAACACAAAGAACAAATAAGTCATTTATATGCAATTATCTAAACCATACAGCTTTTATGAAAGTGCTTTGATGACTAAGCTCCCAAAAAAGCATTTTGGGAGCAGTTGTAAGGGAAGATGGTTATTTTCAGTCATACTGGGACTACTGAATGTTAGATTAATAGTGCCATCTACTGCTCAGCGTCTAGACAATTCATATGACTCCGTAAATCTCTGCCATTTAAAGTAGTAATTTGAATATTCTAGATTTTGAATAAGGAACAATTTTTTTTTTTGTATTTATTTAATTAAAATAAAGTATTTACTTCACATAAGTACAACTGAAAAATGTATTTTAAAAATATGTTAAATCCAATTCTGTGCAACAGGGGATTAACCTAATTCTTGTTATATACTAGTCATTAAATACGTTAGAAATGAATACTTTTATTAAGAAAGGATGCATTAAATTGATCAATAGTAACAGTAAAAACATTTTTAAAGACATATTTTAAATAAATGTTATTCCTCTATTCATAAAAGAATTCCCGGAAAAGCAGTTTCCACAAAAATACTCAAATTTGAAAAGAAAGGTTTCTTGAGTAGCAAATCCGCATATTAGAATGATTTCTGAAGGATCATGTGACATTGAAGACTGGATTAATGGCTCCTGAAAATTCAGCTTCGCCATCACAGAAATAAATTACATTTTAAAATATAAATTTTAAATTGTTATAAGACTATACTACTGTATATAATCAGTACTACTGTATATAATCAAGTAAATCAGATTTGGTGAAAAAAAACACACTACTCATTGACCTCAAACTTTTGAATGGTGGTATATGTTTTTAAAAATGTATCTTGTGACCTACCTAAAAAGTGCTGACAGAGGGCACCAAATAGGGGTGAAGAAGACTTCCTCTATACTCGCCACGCATTGGTCCTTAGAATTTGCAGTGTTGAGACATTCAAAGGACAGAAGACACAGAGACAGCAGGCGATCTGTTTTACACAAAGATAAATCCATTTACCATAGACAATTAGCCAACTAGTCCATTTCATGAAAGGACCTTTTTACAAACTCGTTTATGGTGGATTATGATGCTCAGGCATTGGTTACACCCTGACGCAGTATAAACACATGATACAACCATATAGATCCCACTGGCTATAACAGGGGATTCCTAAAAATGCTAACTCACATGTTGCACATATCTAGAGTTACAAATAAGGTCTCAATCACACAAGAACAGACATTTATTTACCAACAGAAATGTGGATGTCTTTGATGATGGCCTTCAAATGTTCCTTCAAAGCACGATCCTCAAGATGATGAACATGAGACTCTAGGTCTATGTGTGTTGTGTCGAAGGTCACATCAGAGTCTGTATCATCACCACTGTGAGAAGGAACCCAGTCCAGCTGAGTAAGAAACTTCTCTAGATCCTCAAAAGAGTTCTCCCTATCTGTAGAGACCAGAGTTGAGGACTCATCCGGGTCTGTCTCAGACTTTGTGTTGTTGGCATTGAGGTCGTGGGATGGGGAAAAAGAGATGGAGGCATCAGATAAGCTGTGTGTCATAGCAGATTTGAGTGGGCTCTGCTGCTGCTGTGGAGAGATAGGACTGTCGGACAGGAGCAGGCTTTGGGCACTGCGGGAGGGCTTTAAGGGTACTAGTGAGTGACCAGGCGCTGTGCTCAGAGGAACACACTGGCTCACTATAGGATACAGTCTGTTATACACCCGATACTGAAGCCTCTTCAGCAACTTTATGACTGGGTGGTCTGGGTAGCTGGGATCGGGAAAGAAAAGAAACACATGACATAAGACACGGAAGAAACACTTCTGCTTGAAGATGATCTGACAACATGAACCTACCTGAGAAGACATGAGATAAGACCTGAAACCAACGTTGGATCATTTGGATTCTTTTTCAGATTAGCTTTCCAAATTTTTGGCCATTCCTATGATTAAACCAATAAAATCATTATTTATACATTTATGTATATACACTAACGTTCAGTCAGTACGATTTTTTTTTTTGAAAGAAATTAACACTCTTATACAGCAAGGATGCATTACACTGATCAAAAGTGACAGTAAAGACATTTATAGTGTTACAAACGACTTGTTTCAAATAAATGCTGTTCTATTCATCAAAGAATCTTGAAAAAAAAACAAAACAAAAAAAACAGTTTCCACAGAAATATTAAGCTGCACAACTTTTTACTACAATGATGATAATAAGAAATGTTTCTTAATGACCAAATCAGTATATTAGAATGATTTCTGATAAATAACTTATCATAACCTAAATGTTTGAATTTAAATTATTATTAAACTTACATGATCTTGCTCATATTCAAGTACACTCGCATACAGAACCCGCTGCTCTTGTTCCTCAGCTGTCATGGTCCCACAGGTCACAAACCTCCTGCAAAAACGCACCCATTTCATGCACACAAATTAACATTGTATAATTAAAAAAAAACTGTTGGGCATTAAACAGCTTAAATGTGTTTACATAATTATTTTGCTATTACACGGTATTGTGTCATGCACAACAAATATGAAACAGGCAAAACTCATAATACTACATTTGCAAATAAATAGCCAGCTAAACAACTTTATATGGCCTATGGGCCAAGGCGGCTCACCTGTTGGCTTCTTCCTGCAGCCTGAGTCTCCTTTCCTCCATTTTTCTTTGAAGCTGCAAGAGCTCAGGAAAACTCCCAAACATTTGAAAAATTACCACACTCAGAAAAAGATATCAGCAGAAGGCAAACCTTGCACACAGCACATTGATTAAACATTCACCCAACATGCTTAAAGTTTAGTTTTTGGTTTTTCACATGTCCACATTATCAATGAGGTAGTGCTTTAAGCTTTCAGTAAATTGAAAAACAAATTGGAGATTTTGAAAAGAATTAATTAGATTTCACTTAAGCTACATTAAATACTTTTTAAAAATAAAATAAACTGCAAATACTATGATTCAATGCAACTTGCAAATAAAACTTAAACTGAGCATTGACATTTTGAACAATAGACGCCTCTGGTTTGCAAAGAAAGAACAACAGGTCACAGAGGCGTTGACCTTCCAACCCTAAACTTTTCCTCCCAAACACTCGTGACACATGCATCTCAAAGGACTGGAGTAATGATGCTGAAAATTCAGTTTTGCATCACAGGAAATAAAATGTTTTAAAAATCTTAAAATAGGAGTCATTTGAAGTTGTAATAATATTTTACAATATTACATTTATTACTGTGTTTATCAAATAAATGCAGCCTTGCTGAGACTTTTATAATAAACAAAAAAAATAAAAAATAAAAAATAATAATAATATTATATA